GATCCCTCCTTAGGGAGCCAGGCTTGTGCCTAAGCTGGCACCACTTAACAAGCTCATTTGTCAATGCTCAGCACTTAGCATGGAGAGGAAAGTCGTTCACCCCAGGAGCCCTGGTCACGTGTACAGTCATCACCCTTTGAGGACATGGGGGTTGGGGACACAGAGCCTTTATTCACTCCACAGGAAGGTCTGTGTGACTGCCTCTCCCCAGACCCGGGAGGTTGGGAGAGTGGGTTGATCTGTTTATAGAAAGGAAGAGAGAGTGCCCAGGAGCAGTGTGGGGCTGGGGCTGGAGGAGGGAGCACGGGGCAGCCTGACTCGGAGCTGGGAGTGCCTGGAGTGTGACTGGGGGTGGGGAGGGCTCAGGCACAGGGGTCTGGGGCCTGTTTCTCTGTCTGGATCTGCAGTCCCCTCCACTCCAGTAGCCTGTCCTGGCCACACTCCCCTGTGCACACCTGGAAAGGGCAAACTTCCTTTCAGTGACACCTGTGAGGTGCAGCTGTGGTTTTTATTTTTGCTTTTGTTGGCAATGGTGCTTTCCTCTGCTCAAGAGAGCAGTTTCTGTCTCCCCACTGCTGCTAGAAGTGTGTTTAGGACAAGTTTCCCAGCAAAGTTGTGTTTAGTGACTCAGATATTGTGATGAAACCTGGTGTGAAGAGAATCTGGGTGGGGTATGGGGCTCGGGAGTAGCAGAGGCAGAAGGCTGGGTGGCCACCCTGTCCCTGCTGTGTGGAGGGAGCAGCTGCTGCACGTCAGCCTGGGGCCAGGCGCTGGGGCAGCTACCGGAATGCTCAGGCAGCTTCCAAGCAAGGGGACAGTTCTACCGTGTGTTTGGCAAAGCTCAGAGTTGCCCTGGGCTTCAGTGATGGGATTAGACTGAATGCCCAGTGTGGCTTCCTCGTGTCTGCCTGAGCACCTGGCGGTGTTAGCTGATCACTTAGAGACTCAGAAGCTAAAATAATGCTTCATGGATTTTTCCCAGGGTGCCAGGCTACGGCTTGAAGGAGAGGCCAGAGGTTCAGTTCTCCATGCCTGTCTTTGGGATTCAAGAACTGAGAGGAAACAGCTGGTGAGGACTAAAGTGCCTCCTTTTATGTGACAGCTGCTGTGTGAGGAGGCTGAATCACATCCCATCTGGGGTCCTTGCTGCCCCCTGGGCCACCCTGGCCCTTGCCCACTTTTGTTCCCAGGGTGTCAGGACTTGGCCTATCTCCCAGCATGGTCCCTCTGCTCTCAGGGTCTCTGCACTGCCCTGTCCACGTGGCCTCCAGTGCTGCCCTGGCTGGTCCCTCCCCGAGGGGCTTATGCAGAGGCAAGTGAGAGTGTGAGGGAAAGGAGAGGAGGCAGGACTAAGCCCTGTCTCTGGCAGGAGGAGGGGGGTGATTGCTGACAGGGGACCCTGCCACAGATGCACTTTATTCTCGGGTTCAGCCACAACCCAGGTCCTGCTGCAGCTGACGTGAGGACAGTGGCTGTGCAGAGTGGCCCTCAGGTCTGTGTGTGCTGCTCAGAGAGAAGACAGACGCCGCCCTGCGTCTCTGTTCTCTTCATGTTCACGTACTTTGCGCTGGTTTTCTGTTCTAGAAGAAGCCTGGGGCCTCCCGTGCTCTGCTCATTACATTGGCTGCAATGCTGATTTCCAACACAACAGTATAATCAAATCAGACCTCATCTCATTTCCCTAAAGAAACACAAAAGATTATTATCCTACTTTTGAGTTGGTAAGACAGCATGAATCCCAAGATATAAATGTGATCATTATGACTTTTAAACAAAATGAAGGAGTTATTTCTTGGTGGAGTTATTTTTTAGTAAGCTGTATTTGTTTTTCTGGTGCACACAGGTCCATGGGCCACTCGATGAACTTGCTGGGAACTGGCTGACTGGGGTGGTGGTGGCTGTTCTGTCCCGGGCCAGCATTCTTAGCTCGTGATAATGGCACTGGCTGCTGTTACTGATCTTACCCTGGGACTTGGCTGCTCACTCCTCATGGGACACCCCCGGCAGTCGTTACTCCAGTGCCTGAGGGGGGGACCTCATCTCCGTTTCCCTAGAGGGAGAGCTGGAGCTTGTATAATTCTTCCAGGGCCCTAGAGCAGGGTTAGAAAACTTTTTCTATAAAAGACCAGAAAGTAAATATTTTATGTTTGGGAAGTCATACATCCTGTTGCAGCCACTCACCCCTGCCACCGTAATGCTGAAGGACCCACAACAAACACAAAAATAAGTGGCGACCATGTTCCACTTTGTTTATGGACACTGATATTTAAATCTCATATAATTTTCTTTAAATTTTTTTTAATTTTTAATTATTACAGATACTAACATTTGTATGTCTCTATAGGATACCCTGATGCTTTGATCCAGGCATACAATGTACATTAATCAGTGTAAACCAGGATAATTGGAGTATCTGTCAAATCGGGCATTTAACATTTCCTTGGGTTAGGGACACTCCCATTCCACTCTCTTAGTTATTTTAAAGTCTACCCTAACTTATTGCTGATTGTAGTCACTTTGTTGTGATATCAAATATGATTCATTCTGTTTAACTAACTCTATTTTTGGACCTGTTAACTATCCCTGCTTTATCTCTCCCTCTCTGCTGCCCTTTCCAGCCTCTGGACTCCATCATTCTACTTCCCTCCTCTGTGAGACCAATTGTTTTTAACATTTCGCTCCCACAGATGAGTGAGAACATGTGAGATTTGCTTTCTGTGCTGGGCTTGCTTCATTTCACCCCATGTAATGTTTCATCCCTCTTTTTACAAGCGGCAAGATATTATTCTTATTTTGTGGCTTCACATTTCTCATGTCACAAAATATTATAACTGTTTTGATTTTTTTTCTAACCATTTCAAAATGTAGAAAACATTTTTCCCTTGCAGACTATATAAGCATAGAGGTGGCGGGCCGGGCCTGCTGACTGCTTGTCCGATTGCTGGGGCAGCGGCTGAGTTAGGAGGGCAGTAGGAAGAACATGCAGGCCAGACGGAACAGGCGGCAGAAGCATGAATCCTCCAGGAACTGCAGTAAATGCTTTACAGTTTGATAGAGTGTGGGCAAAACAGCACACACAGAGGAGCAGTGGGGCCACATCAGCACCTGGGGGCATTTTAAGGAATTTGGACTTTGTCCTAACAGCCCTAGGAAACCATTGAAGTGTTAGGGGAAGGAGTGACCAGGGGAAGATGTCCTTTAGAAAGATCACTAGCTGTGAGTGGAGAATGAACCCCAGGAATTAATAAGAGTAACGGCAGAAAGACCAGTTTGGAAGCCCGAGCAGTGGGCCAGATGGACCACGATGGTGTCCAGTAGAGGCCAAGCCCAGAACCATCTCCTGACAACAGTGTTCTGCAGTCATGGTGATGGTGCCTGGAGAGATTGTGTCTGGCCTGGCAGTATCACACGGAGGCAGAGCAGGGATGAGGCCCTGCTCTTCTGACTCCAAATCCCATGAGTTTTCCTGTGTGGTACGAAGGCCTTACCATTCTCCAGTGGAGGTGAGGTTCGTTCTGACCGATAGTTTATCTCTGAACCTTGAGAGCCGCTTCCCTTGTCTCTCTCACAAGTGCTCAGGAATGAGGACAGTGCCTCTTAGGTCTGAGTTGTTAATTTTCATTTCCTGGGGAAATTTATTTCATCATCGAGGGAAATAACCTCTTGTTCAAATAAATGATAAAAGGGCCAAAGGTTGTGGTAATGATTTTATCATTCCTTATGCTGGCATTACAAAGATGACTGCTTACTTAAAGGTTGGCTTTTCTTATAATTTGTGTAGTTTTCTTTCCCAAAGGAAAATTAGTATCTTCTTTCCTACTTTTGCAAAAATGACTTGTCAGATGGGGTCCTGAGCATCACACCCTGGTTCCCCCCGCTGACAGGTGTCTCTGGGTCAGAGGATCCCGTCCTGTGAATGTTGTGATGATGGGCTGCGGTCTCTGATGGGGTCTTTGGTTGGGGTGGGGAAGTAGGGATGAGGGAAAGGGGAGCCTTGTGTCTCGGGGCAGAGGGTGGCAGTGGCTTTCCCTCCACTTCCCTGAGGTTTGAGTTTTCGGTTGTGGTGGGTGGTTCCAACCATGGTGGGTGGACAGAGGGAACTTCAGGGAGCGTTTGGGGGCAGTGCTAGATCCCGTCAGCCAGTCCTGGATTCTGCTGAGATTTTGTTCAGGTTTTCCCTGCTGTTGTTACTCATCAGCTTGTTCCTGTGATAGGGGAAGGTCTGTGGGGGGACCAGTGTCTGCACAAGAGGTGCTCTGTGTGTCCCTGCCGTGGACGCCCAGGCACAGAGACTGAGCACAGGCTGCACTGACCGCCCTTACATGTCCACGCTGCATCACACAGCAGCTTCTCCCAAAGAAGTCAGAATTTTCCAGTCTAGAGTAATCACGGTTAACAAAGAAGACATTTGGGAAACCCTGAAAATACGACAAACTGTGGGAGTGGGCAGTCGGTAAATCACGGGCTTCTGCTGAAGGTCTTTTCCCATCATGTGACTTTCCTCGTCCCCTGTGCTCTTGTCACACCTGGGCTGGGAGTCTGTGTCACGGAGAAGTCGCTGCACAGTGGTCCACACGCAGCCGGCTCATTTCCGATACTGTTTTATTTATTTTCTGTAGGCTTTTTTTTTACTCATGCAGGTCTGAGGGTGAGGCTGACATTGTTAAGCGCAGAGATTTTCAGCCTCTCTCCCTCCTTCCCGCCTTTCTTTTATTAGTTATTGAAAGTTGGTCATGTGCCAGACATTGGGTTTAAGTTCATAAAAAATAGTGTCTGACTTCAAATACACATGGTGTCCCATCTAGAGGACTGAGAGCCTGAAACTTGAGCCATGTGGTGTGACGGGTGGGGGCGGCTGGTGCGAGCCTCTCCCTGGCCTGGCGTAATACCCCCTGAGGCCTTGCCTCTGAGCTTAGGGATGTGGCCAGCAGTGGTCAGGCTGCCCATGCAGAGGGGAATGAACTAACAGCTTCTGCCCTTGCCTTTCTCTCTTTGTGCAGGGTGGACATGGCTTCTCAGAGGTTAATTTCTAACAGAACCTCCCAGCAATCTGCATCTAATTCTGATTATACCTGGGAGTATGAGTATTATGAGATCGGACCAGTTTCCTTTGAAGGCCTGAAGGCTCATAAATGTAAGTCCCATGACTGAGTATAATATGTGTGTGTCTTAACCTGTGAAATCCCAGGCAGTGACCGGGTCTGTCTTCTCACAGCACTCTGCCCTCTACCTCCCAAACCACTTGAGACTCCCTCCCCACACATAGGCTGGTTGTTCAGGGATGGTGTTACACGAGGGCCCGGTGGTTCTGATTGATAAGGAACTTAAAAGAATATTGGGAGATCACGAATCAATGTCGATCTCAGACTGAGATTTTTAAAAATGTTTGAACCGGTTCCTAAACTGTTAACATCTGAACTCTCAAAAATGTTACTGAAACAGAATCTGGGACTGTTATTTGAAGACTCTGCTTTTGCAACACAGAGTCAGCAGGATCCTTTCCTCCGACTGGATGTTGGAGCTGTGGAGACTGGCAGTCTGTCTGTGTGTGTCCATGATGACAGACCAGAGTGGCCTGGGACCTCTTCCTACTTCATGTCACTGGAAGGAACTGTGCTTCCTGTTAGCAGCATGATTAGTGATGCTGCCCAGAGCAAGGACACCCAGTCCTGGGAAGATCACTCTCAGTGAGTGGCTTCTGGATGCTGGCTGGCCACGCCAAGCGGGGCTTCCTTCCTCCCGTGGGGTCGGCAGAGCCGGCAGGAGCTGCGGCCACTTCCAAATCCTGTCGGGCTTCCCTCAAATATCCCTGAAACGTTCAGTTGTTTTGGAGTGAATAGCCACAATGCTGTAAGATTTTCAGGTCCATAACTGGTCCAGATTAGTGGGACACATCAGGAGACACAGGCGAGGTTAGAATCAGAGATGCCAGTGTGGCAGTGAGATGCTTTCTCCCCTGTGCTGCCCGCTGCTTCCTCTCTGCCTGTCTTGGCGTTTCTGATCCCTCAGAGCTAACTCATGCTCCCCTTGCAAGAACTTTCCATATTTTCTCCTTAAACAAAAATCACTACCTAACCACATACCCTTTCCTCCTAAAGTGAGTGGTAATGATTAAATGCTCCTCTTACTCCTCACTGCCGTCTGTTCTGTGTTGCTGAATCCGTTAGGGCAGACTGTTACTGTGGTCACTTATCTGACGTGGAGGGCTTGTCACAGTCTGGCGTGAAGTCACCCTCCTTCATTCACTTAAATTCTTTAACCTGTTGTTTTTCTGGGATAACCTTTACTTGTTATAACTAGTGATGAAAATCAGAATGACTGGGACAATTCCCACGTAGTTCCCTGTGAAGCTCTTACCACTTGGTGACATTAACTTTATTTTGGGGTCAATTTGCTCCTGTCTCTTTCCCTACATTTAGGGGACACAGAAGATAGGCCTGCTGCTATAATTCTAGTTGATGCATTTCCAGAGACAACTGAAGAAAGTCTTTTGTGAGCAGATTACATCCTAGAAATGATTATAGCTGGGACAAATTCCTGCAAAACACAGGCAGAGGCGAGACTCATTGCGTGCTTGCTTCAGCTGTTACAGCTTTAGTAAGGATTGCCTTTGTTAGTTTTAATGTTCACATGAAGAAAAACCAAAAATACCCAGTACTTGGGTACTTACTGTTCTGATATGAGAGATCTGATCATAGCAGAGACCATCAGCTTCAGGAGTCTGACAACCTGAGATACAGAGAAACAAACAAAAACCTCCAGCCATCCATGAAAACGAAAAGTCAAGTCAACTATTGTAATTATTGGTTCAATAATGTGGCAATTCTGACTTTCAGGGGTGACTCTTTGTTTTCCTGGGCAAACTATAAAGCCAACTAGGTGTAGGGTCAAAAGAATGAAAGCAGGATAGGTGAAGGGGAGGTGCTGACTGAGAGCAGGAGTGACAGGGGCGTCACCATCATCTGCTCGACCCGTAATGGACCTTCAGGTAGACTAAGTGCCTCTGCTGCTGACTCCAGGTTCCCACCTTCCAAGGGACTTGCATCTGAGAAACGAGCTCTCACGGTCGTTATGAATTCTCCGTTGCCTTTCCTTTTGAATCCAGAATTAAACCTTATGATGTGTCAAAGTGGATATGTGTCTGACACACATTTTGCATCAGCACAGTGGAAATTTATTTTTTCATTAACTGATGCAACATGAATTTATCAAGCACTTGTTACATACGGCACCATTTTAAACACTGGAGATAAAACAGTGAATTGTGAAGACAAAGATGTTTTCTTCTATAGAGCTTGCATTCTAGGAGGAGAGACAGTCAGAAAAGGTCACGCAACTGAGCCAGGTGGTGATAAAAAAGGACAAAGAGAGTGAGGAGAGAGGACGTGGAGCATGGAGGTGGAGGGTGGGCAGAGTGGGGAGAGGGGACGTGGAGCGTGGAGGCGGAGGGTGGGCAGAGTGAGGAGAGGGGTCGTGGAGGTGGAGGGTGGGGAGAGAGGACGTGGAGTGCGGAGGCGGAGGGTGGGCAGAGTGAGGAGAGGGGTCGTGGACTGTGGAGGTGGAGGGTGGGCAGAGTGGGGAGAGGGGACGTGGAGGGTGGAGGCGGAGGGTGAGCAGAGTGGGGAGAGGGGACGTGGAGTGTGGGCAGAGTGGGGAGAGGGGTCATGGAGGTGGAGAGTGGGCCCAGTGGCCCCAGAAGGTCTTACTGAGCAGGAGAGATTTGAGGACAGACCTGGACAGAGAGATCCTCAGCTTTGGTCTCGGGGAGGGACATGCTGGTAAATGTGCCTTTGCAGGAGGAACTGGAAGAAGCAAAGAGCACCAAGAAGGCCGGGAGAGCATCAGGGACTGGTCAGGGGCACAGGAGCAGGTGACAGGTCAGAGTTCATGAGAGCTTGAGAGGTCATGCCCAAGACTTTGGGTCTTTACTCTGAGAAGTCCTTTGAGGGTCTGGAGCAGACCCGTGGCTTGTGACTCGGGTTTCAGCAGGACCCCACAGCAGCTGGGGAGTGAGAGGGGTGAGATGAAATAGAGACTGGAGGCGTTGCCACCACAGGGTACACGGTGGGGACATGGACACAGTAGGGACAGTAAACTGGGGAGAAGGACATAACTGGATAGTTTTAAAAGTTAGGTCTGGGAAGATGCCTCATGGGGTTGAAATGGGATGAAAAGAGAAAGAGTCAAGGGTGATCTGAGTATTAGAGACCTGAGTGCCTGGTGGATGGGCTTGCCCCTAACTGAGAGGGGAAGGATGTCAGAGAGGAGGTTCCCTGAAGGAACTTCAGGACCTCAGTTTGGGTCCCTCCACTGTGGCACCTGTGCCCATGACACCTGGGGCGTAAATAAGACTGCAGGCCGGTTTTGGTATTCCTGCTGGAGATAGGGGTCTCCGATGGTCCTTCTAAGGGGCTCAGGGTGAGAAAGTGCCCTGGGTCAGGTTGTAGGGCAGAAGGTGTGTTAGGAGTTAGGAAAAAGTAGACGTAGTCTGAAGAAGCAGAATTGTGTTCAAAGGGGAGTGTGAATAAGCAAAACTACTTGAAGCGAATTGTCCTAGGTTGTGTGGATGCCACATTGCCAAGGAGATGTTTGGAAATGCTGTTGGTTCATGGCGATGCTCGTATGTCCTCCAGCTCTCCCTCCCACGGCTCCTCCTGTTACCCGCCCCAGCCCCACATTCTGCTGCTTTTTGATGAGCTCCCTGGGTCACCAGGAGAGCAGGGGGAAGGGACTGGGCTGGGTGACAGGCACCCGCCCTCCACCCTCAGGCTGTGTGTCCACCATTCATGGTGAAAGCTGTCTCAGGAGGACACCTGCCACGCAAGGTGACTAAATTCCCAGTTGAGACTTGAGCATGACCCTGGTGTGTGGTGTTAGGACTCGTCTCGGCCATGCAGAGCTATACCTTTCCTGTGCATGTTTCCTTGCTGTCACTTCACTGTCCATGCCCAGATAATGAGATTTTACTGTTCCATGTCAACTGCACCTGAGTACATGTGTTTCTTGGTACTTACCCTTATCGGGTCTTATTTAGGTCTCATTTCCACTATATTAAAAAGGAAAGTCTACAGTTAACTTCAGATGTCAGTCTCTGCTAAAAATTGTATTTTCCAATTAGAGACACGTTAGTGGAAGCTGGAGGACCCAGATGACCTGATGTTCCCCCAGGTTAATTCATGAGGGTGGAAGGCAGGAGTCAGGGAGGCCTGCGTCACTTCACAGCGTCCCAGACAGAGCCAGGAGGACACATGCATTTTTCCTCATCCCCAGCCAGTTGGGATCAGATTGTTAATTTCCTCTCATGTTTTACATACAAAATGTCTCCAGAAAGCTCTGATTCCGTGAACATTTGCATTTTAAACAACTGTGAGATGCTAATCCTGGTGTTACCTGTCTTGCAGATTCCATTGTGATTGGATTTTGGGTTGGTCTTGCTGTCTTCGTGATTTTTATGTTTTTTGTGCTGACCTTGCTGACCAAGACAGGAGCCCCACACCAAGAGTAAGTTTGGCCATTCCTAAAGATCTGTTAAGCTGCCATGGAAGTGAGAAGCAGAACTGACGGCCCCGGCCAGGGATGCTCCCAGCCCGAGAGAAGGGGCAGTGGTGGGTTTGCTGCCCAGACCCGGTGCCTTGGGTGGGATCCCGCTTTCCACCCAGCCTTTTCCTCTTGCTTCTGGGGCTTATTTTCATGTGGACTCTTGTGAAATTGGATTTCTTGGTCCTTTCCCACAGTCTGAATGCTGATCTAGGCCTGATTTTTATGTCGAATTGTTTATTAATTAGGATGTATTTTCTCCTTATTCCAAAAAGGATTCAGACTATCCACCAGATTAAAAACAATGGAAAAGACAACAGCAAAAATAGGATGAAAACTTGTTTAAAAAAGTATTTTGAGGCTTGGCGCCTATAGCACAGGGATTACAGTGCCAGCCACATACACCGAGGGTGGTGGGTTTGAGCCTGGCCCGGGCCAGCTAAACAATGACAACTGCAACAAAAAATAGCTGGGCGTTGTGGTGGGTTCCTGTAGTCCCAGCTACTTGGGAGCCTGAGAAAAGAGAATTGCTTAAGCCCGAGAGTTTGAGGTTGCTGTGAGCTGTGATGCCACAGCACTCTACTGAGGGCAACATAAGTAAGACTGTCTCAAAAAAAAGTATTTTGAGAAGTCGAGACATAAGTGTTACTGGACACTCAACTGAATTAGTTGTTGACGATGATCATGGAGTTCAACACTGAGTTCTCTCTAAACCAGGATAGAAGGAAAATATTGCAAGTTCTACAGTTCTCGTAACGAGGTAAAGAACATTCGTGTTGAGCTTTGGATTCAAGTCACTACGTGGTGCTTAATAGCATCGGCATTTGTTCAGTTATGGTTTGTAACAGTTCAGAAGTGTCTGGCAAGGGTGTCCAACCTTTTGGCTTCTCTGGGCCACATTGGAAGAAGCGTTGTCTCAGGCTACACATTAAATACACAAACACTAATGAAAGCTGATGAGCAAAAGAAAAAAGCCTGTGCCTAATTTTCATGATATTCAACAGCAGAGGTAAGCAAAAAAGTCCTCACAGAATCTGTGTGTGGCCCTCAGGCCACAGTTTGGACACTCCTATGACTTATCGTGTTTTATACCAGTGCTTCCAAGAAAGGGAAATTAGCGCATGTTGAATATCTTATGACTGGTCCCAGCAGGCCCCAAATACCACACTCTCATTGCTAGTTATGAGAGCTTTTGATAAAGGGCTACCCACAAGCTGCCAGCAAGGACGAGAGTAGGACCCCAGGGCCAGTGACTCCACAGCAGTTACAGCCCTAGATCTTGAGGGAGAGGGGGCGCCAGCACCCAGGAGACAGCTAAGAGGGCTGTGACCTCGGTCAAGGGACACAGCTCATCCAATGTGACATCTCAGGACAGAGGCCTCCAGGTAAAGAACAAGACCCCCTCTGCGCATCCCCCATCTCTTGCCTTTGCCTCCAGTGGGCAGCCAGGGGTCCAGGAGAGGCCAGTTTCCTGACACAGAGCAGGAAGGGCAGTGGGGGAGACCCAGAAAAGGGGGGGTACCCTGACAGTTCTATCTTGAGTGTCACACTCACCCCTCGAGCCCAGGCAGCCACACTCCCCATCATGTCTCATCACACATCTCCGCCATCTGTTGTCCATTCTCCAGCCTGCACTTGAACTAGAACAAGCGTGTGGGCAAAGGGACAGCTCTGTCCTTCACTCTGCTGTTTCCAGACATCAAGGAATGGGAAAAAAATTAAATGCAGAACATTGTAAATGAAAGGGGTATAATTGCTTTATTGAAGCCTGTGGCGACACGTGGCAGCTGCTAAAAAAACACAAGCTCCCCCTTCCTATCTCGTGTCCTATAAACACCTACTTGTGCCTTTGCTTCTGTTACACGGGCCCAGGGAGTTGGGAACATGGTGTGGGTTGCAAGGGCAGTAAGAAAAGCTGAGAACACACTCAGAGTAGTGCAGGGAATTCCTGGGGTCAGGGAGTAAGAACAGTGTTAGATTCTTTCTCTGCAGAGGACAGAGGGGTCCTGAGGGTTGCAGGGTCACTGAGAAGGCGGGTGACTGTACAAAGGGGATGATCTACCACAGGGTAGAACGTGACTTCCTGTGACGGCTGATTTGGTGTGTGTGTCTACTAATAGGCCGTGGTACCTGCATATCGGGTCAACATCATGCTGGCTTCTCTATAAAGGTGTTTCTTAGATAAGGGTCACATTTAAATCAGTACACTTCCAGTAAAGCAGATCACCCTCCACAATCAGTTGAAGGGCTTAGAAACAGAGACTGACCTCTCCAGGCAAGAAAGAGTTCTGCCCTTGCTGCCTGGGACCAGCCGCAGCTCCTTCCGCACCCCCAGCCTGCTGGCCGTATCTGTAGGGCTGCGACTTGCCAGCTTCCAAAGATGAGCAAGCAGGCCTGCAGCAAATCTCTCTTCACATATGCACATAGTCACGTCGGGTCACGACGGTTCTTTTCCTCAGGAGAGCCTCGGCCCATCCACTGCTGGGAGGTGTCGTGGGGACCCTGAGAGTCACGACTCACACTTCCAGCTGCTCTGCTGCCTCTGGTCGGGTTTTCTTTTGGATGGCAGCTCTGAACAAAGCCTAATCACAGAACAGGGGCCATTGTAACCTTGCGTGCTTCTTTCAAGATTGAGGGGAAACTCTACTTTTACTTTTAGAAAACTAATGGATCGGCCTTGAGGACCACAGTAAACGCTCTGGGCACAGTCTGAGGTGGTGTGAAATGTAGCACTTAGCTACAGTGTATCATCATACAAGTCTGAAAGAATCAGACTCAGAAACACCCTCAAATGAATCCACTGAAAAGACGATCAGATCTTAGCAAGCTTGACATTAACGTGACAGGAATTTTCTCCTAAAGTGGACTTTGTTTTTTTCCATATGGCCCCCTTAATAGGAAACAGTCAATTTTAAGTTTGTGATAAATACAGGGTGGGCTGAGACACTGCTGAGAATAGTAATAGCCACTTTTGAGTGTTTGCCATATGCCATATCCACAAATCACTTTGCAGGTGTAATCTATGTTCTCACGGGAAGATGAGGCAAGTTCCAAAGCTCCCACTTTACAGATGAGAAAAATGAGACCAGGCACTTGTCTGAGGTCCCCTGGGTTAAAAGCTATGCAGCCCTCAAACCAAAGTCTTTTTAGCACTGTTGTTAACCACTGTGTAAAACTATTTCAGATGGGTTAGTTTTTAATCCCTTCTTTCTATTGAACCAAGGTTGTTCGCAAGCAGCCATCTGTATTTTCTTTTGTCTCATGAACTCTGGAGTCAAACGTTTCTAGGTTTGCTTATTGGAACTAGGACTTAATTCTTAACCTCTCAGTGCTTGAAACTCCTTATGTATAAAAAGAAAGTAGATGCGTCTCCTAGGATCGAAGATGAACTGAGGGAAGTGAGAGGCCGTGACGCTGCCTGCGAAGCCGGCACACGGCATCCCCCAGTGAAGGTCAGGGCCTGGGGGAAGAGTCGGAGGGGGAAGGGAACAGAGCCCATCTTCCCACACAGACAACATACTGCCTTGTTTACCCCAGCTTCAGTAAGAAGAATCTGGAAAGACCACTCAGGAGAGAATCCCAGCCCTGGGTCAGGACCTGTCTGGGTTCCGACTGCCTTACACAGCAGGTGTTCTGAGTGGCTCGTCACAGAGAAAACTCACTCCTTGCGTGGGACAGTGGCAGCATCCTTTTGGAACATACAACTTTTAACAGCCTGGTTAGGATGTCTGATGAGGTCCAAAAGCTCAGAATGGGCAGGTGCTGGAGTGACCACTCGAGTCCAGTTTTTCCCCCATGGAGGTGTCTTGGGGGAGGGCGGAGTGCTGGCAGCTGGAGAGGGTATGAGCCTCCCTCTGATAGTGTTATGAGCTGGCAGCTGCGGTGCCTGCACCCAACTGGCTATGCCCAAGCCCACAAGAGAGGCCACTAACTAACTGTGTCCTCTTCCCGGCATAGCCAAGACCTCGCCTCACAGTCATTTACAAAACAGACCTCCAGGCCGCTGCCAGAAACCCCCTGTGGTGGGAGTGCCCTACAGAGCCCTTGGCTCCTGTGGCCTGACTCCCCTTCACAATATCGGGGTCAGGACTGAGGTTCATTCCCTTACATGAGGCCAATGATACCACAGTAAAATAGACAATGTCCCCCTGAAATTTTCAGCATGGGATTGTGTGAGGGTGAGAAGTCAATGCCCTGGGGTTTCTGTGTGGAAGGAATGTGTGGCTGTCAGGCCAGGCTGGGCTGCAGGACAGTCAGGACAAGCTTCTTTCCTTCTCAGACTACAGGTCCCACCAGAGTGGGCTGCCCTTGCTGCTGACCAGCCGCCCTCCCTGCTCCAGCCAGCCGGGGTCACTGGGTGCCAGAGGGGCGGCTTCCCCATGGAGAGCAGGACTCCGGGAGCACCAGGGAGCCTTGGTCAGAGGCAGAAGGACAGTCATAAAGCTGACATCACCCCTGTTAAAAGCTTTCAGGCCTAAGAAGCAGCTTTGATGGGGTTGATTTTTTCCATGGATCACTTGCTGTTGTGTGGGAGGAAAAAGCACTTATCTGGATTCTTTATGGACAGTGAAGATAAAAGGACCATTTCCTCCTGCTCTGTGAGCTCGGCCCCCTTGTTAATGGGAAGCCCCATCATCATCGTAAACCTGCCTGGTGGACAGTGACAGGAAGAGTCAGATCCCATTTCTGTGTTGAACAGTTTGGACTTCTTTAAAAAGAAAATTATCACACCCAGACATGATGTGCCTCCCATGTCCTTCTCCTGTAGCTGCTGCTAAGCCGCCCTGTCCAGGTGGGAATGTCCTTCCTTTAGGGCCAGTGCAGGATTGCTCGCCACCTTGTAAAAAGGGAATGCATTTTACCTTGAATAGTAATTGGCCTGAATCTGGTGCTCACTAAAGGATGGGTACGGGGAACTAAAAGCTGATAGTGAGAAAATGTCAGAGTTCAGAATATTTCACAGT